TATAATAAAAATAATACTATATATAGCTACAGTATACAAATTTAGTTATTATTATTTATTGCTTTAAAAAATTTTTAATATAATATTAATATATAAAAACTATTAGGTTAAATAAAAATAAATAGTTAACAAATTAAAAGCTGTATTAGAATCAGATATAGGTCTGAAATTAAATTTAAAAAACTCTGAAAATTTTTTAGTTATACTCAATATAGAATAAATTAAATGCCTATCAGAAATATAATAAATTTATTATATTGCTGATATGTAAGTGATTTTAGCTAAAAATTGTTTCAATAAGTTGTAAAATATAAGATTCAAATCAGTAAATTATTAGTTTTATATATTAGTATAATTTTATAACTTAATCAATAAATTATTGATAACTATCAGCATTCTAATATTTCTCTGATATTTCTTTATTTGACCTGTGTATATTATACTTTAATGCTAATTAATTTTAGGTGGAGGGTGTGGTGACTTAGTGTAATAAATAAGTTGTTATACTTCCAAGTGATAGGTTGTGAGTTTAAAACTCACTGACAGCGAAATTTAGATAATCATCTATATAATACATAGACAGTATTACGGTAACAGCATTCTGTTGATCAGTTGGGATAGGATACCTGTAACTATGGTTGCACCAGCATGACTGGCAGGTTTGGGACATCTGTATAACCTGTTATACAGAGGAATGCAAATCAGTACTGGGTAGTGCAAACCTAAAATAAGTCCTTGGGCTGTGTAAATCCATAGAACTGGAAAGCCAGAGCCTACTTAGAAATTCTGAGCAGAAAGGTAACACAAATCTTTGATAATACTACTGTAAAGGCTAGACCTAGGAAATAGATATCAATGTGAAGAATTTGAGTAGACAAGAACCTTGAGTGAGGGGTACTACCAACCAGGCTATCAGATTTCAGACTGAAAAAAAAGAATATTGGACTGGACTCAATATACCAAGAACAGGTCACAGTTTTTTCAGGCTATTTGGATTGGGAGTCTAGGTTCAAAGCAGGGGTATACTAAAAGTACTAGGGATATGCTGTGAAGTTAGTACTGGGGTTTGGGTGAACTCTGTAAGGATAGCCCATGTTAGTGTTCTAAAAGTAGGTAGATAGTTAACAATGGAAGACCCCTACATCTTACTGCTGGGTAATGTACTCTGAAATGTGTAACAGCCTAGGAACCAATACAAAAAGGGTAGGTAACTATACTGCCCAGACAGTATACCAGTTAGGTATATATGGGAGATAAGTTGGGGATTCCAATATGATAGGATGGATAATCAAAAGATTTGAATAGATAATCTCCTAGTAGGTTATAGATACAGCACCTAGTGTAAAACCTTAGGGTGGACTACTTAAATAGGCAACCAAAAGTTGTACATGTGACTAGCTGTACTCTCATCTCTATAAAAATAGTTGTAATAGCTAATCCAATATAAAGTCAATAAAGTTTCATCACAAGTATGGCCTTTAAAAAAAAAAAAAAAAAAAATTTTTGGGTGGAATTATATGAATAATGCTAACCAAACTATCATATATTTAAAAATTAACAGTTCTAGATATAATTTAATTAATTAAATTTTAAGAAATATATTTTTTAAAAATTAAAGAAGTTTTTATTAAATAAAGATTTTTTAGACTTCTAATAAAAGTTGTAAAACTTGTTTTTCTGATTCTAATAATGATTAAATCATAAAAATTGGCCTGGTAGATCCTAAGATATTGGAAATCAAAGAAAAGAGCAAAAAGATCTACAAATTGCTAGTTACACGAAGTACTGTTGTCAATTATATTTGTTGTCAAAACCTGAATAAATCCCAAACCTTAAAAAAACAAATTGCTTTTATAAAAAATTAAATCAACAAAATAATTTTGATATTTTATAAATATATTATATATAGTTATAAGAATATAAATTATTTGTTTAAATAAAGATTATTAATAAAGTTTTTGAGATATTAATTTAGATTTAAGTTTGGGACTTGAGTACAGACAAACTCAAACTATAATAGTTTGGGATTTGAGTAGCAAGTATAGTTATCAATAGAATTTTGTATAATTAATAATTTGTAGATCTTTTGCTCTTATCTTTGATTCCTAATATCTTTTTTTTTTTTTTAAATATTAAGATGAGTACTTGCAATCTAGGATTTTATTGAAAGTATATTTGACTAATAGATGCTTTACAACCACAGGAGGCAATCATGAGAAAAGTATACAACTAGCCACTCATACAACTTTAGTCATTATTTAATTTAAGTAGTCTACCCAAAGGTTCTATATTAGCTGTCATACCTAGAACCTACTTGTAGATTTCTTATTTAACTACTCTGTTTCTGTATCCATTCACCTACTTTTGCCTACCAATAACCTTGACTGATATTAATAAAAATATGTTATGACCACTAAGTCTTTAAAGTAATTTACTTATATAGGAAACCTTTGACCTTATACTAAAGTTTCCAGAATCTTTTGTATCTCATTCTTATAGCTGATCTGATATTGCTATAACCAAGACCAACACTAATGATTAGGATATATCATTAAACTGTTATACTCTTATAAAGTTTATTCCAACCCTTGTATTGACTTCACAACATATCTCTACTACTTTGGTATTCAATTCAAGTTTTATCAAGTTGCCAAATCAGATAACCCAGAAAGGCGGGTCGAAATTATATATCTCTGGATTACATGTTTATCAATATGTAACCTTTTCTTTTAAAATCTGACAATTTCAATGACCTGTTTAGTTCATCTGATCCCTTCTTAAAGATCAATATATTTGTCCAGTTTCACAAGTTCTAGCTTCGTTTCATAGGTCTAATCTTTATAATAGTACCATCAAAAGTTCAGGTTATCTCTTTATTCGAGTCTACCAAGTAGACTTCTATTTTTCTTCTTTTTGTTTTTATGATTTACATAACTATGAGAACTTATTATAAGTTTGTATTACCTAGTACCGGTTTGCATTCTTTTATGTAACTACAAATCTTGTCTTAAAGAACAATGTCATATGATTATTATACAAATACCATGTGACCTGCCAGTCATACTGGTGTAATATAAGTAACAGGTGTCTTATTCCAACCAATTGTAAGAAACAGTTAACTATAACATAGTGAGGATTTTTAAATTTTTCGTTAACACTAAAATTTGAACTCTGGACCTGCCACTTGAAGGTTGACAATCTAACCATTTCACTAAATCACCACACTCTTAATTCCCAATATCTTAAAATCTACCAGGTTGATTTTGATAATTAAAATCAGAAAAACAAGCTTTACAACTTTAATTAGAAATCCAAGAAACTTTTACTTATTAGATTTTAGAATTTATATTAAAGTTTAAAGGGTTTAAAACTAAAAATAGAAAATTTTGTATAACCATGATGGAAATAGTAAAAAACCATGGTTATTGGTCAAACCTCAGTCAAGCCTTATATAGATAGGTATAACGATTATATAACTATGTTCGTGCTTGTAATTTTTGACACGTTATAAAATTACTACACAAATATTTATAGTAAAAACTTTCGTGTCTTTAGGTTAGAGGCAGGAAAGATCAGTATAACACAATCAGAAAAATTCACCTATTTGGCATCTTTTATTCTAACAAAAAGTTTTTTCGTGCGACCTTACTATATGCCATGATAGTATCCAACCTAATATAAATGCTAACCCTAACACAATCGAACTTTAAAAGTTATTTCTTAGTATCATGTGATAGGAAATTTTTCGAAAAATGTATCGGACGTTACTTTTGCTGGTGATTGTACGCACCTAAAATCAACCAATAAAATTGGACATACACATTAAAAAATAGGAAATAACACAAATAGAAATTTAGAAATTGCCTTTTGTTAAAATAATCTTATAATATTTTATTTATCAGTTATACATGTATTCAAACAATGATCGCTTTAGTTTTTATAATTTACTACGTAAACCAATCTTAGATAATTTGTTTCGAAGCTTTAATATTATAAAATCAAGAAATTTGACTTAGTACGATCTATATTTTAGAATAAAATATCATACTCAACAACGAAAATTACGTGCACGTAAATTTCTCGGCATAATCTGACATGGGTGTAAAAATCTCAGTTCAAATCAAATATGTGATGTATATTGGTGAATAAACCATTTTATTAATTGACCAATCGTATTTAAAAACCGCAATATCAATATCAGATGTCTACGTAAAAATGGTTTATCTGTTATCGTTATACGTACGTACCTTTAAAAATATGTAAAAGCCATATTTTTCCAGCTTGCTCAATTTGTATAAGGACCATGAGTCAGTCAAGACTGATTTTATACCAAGCCCAGATAGACCTAATTTTTAATGTGTATGCAACGGGTTACAACCTTGTATTGAAATTTAACATCACATGAATTATTGGTTATAAATAGATGATACGAGCCAATGAGAAGAGATAAATTATAGGTTTTTTAAATTTTGACCCAAAAGTATCGGCATGTGATAAAATTCTTTTATGAACGCATAACGATAATTCAAATAACTTGTTCTCCTTTAAAGTCTGAATATGTCGCAACTATTACTACGCCTGTTCCAGAGTGAACATTTCAATAGCTGGATGGCCATTTCATACCTGTTTAAGTATCCAGATTCAGTCGGGATCCAACATTATTTATGCAATGAGCTTAAGAAATTCCCAATGTCAGAAATCGAGTTCTTTTTACCGCAGTTATGGTAAAGGTTATGAGTTATTTGCTTTTTTTTCAAGCATTCGAAACATTTTAAGGCATTTCTGATTGATAAAATTACTTTATCGAGTTGCCTGAAATCGGGTTATAAAAACGACTAGTAGGACGATACAACGCATTTATCCGATAGACGAAACTTATTCATTTATTTTATATTATTATTTCTTAATTTCCCAATTCAAGTCATTTGTTAATTAGTCGACCCACTGAATCGGTGGCTTTAGAATATTTTATACTAGAATATTGTGAGAAGTCAACTCATATGGCTATACTGGTATTGTGTACAAATATTTGTCAAAAAAAAAAAAAAACAATTTAAATAAATTAAAAAAGAAATTGGAAAATTTATATATACATTAGTTAATAATTATGAATTTTACTTTTTAGACATTATGGTATCTTCAAGCATATCGTTCAGACTTATCTGCCAATCCATCTTCACCTGCCTTCACAGTATGTAAACGCGTACTAAACAAATGTCAAGCACTAGTATTTAACGGAAAGCAAGATGAGAATGATAAAGTTACTACTGTTCCTGGAACACGAGAAATGTTTCCACGACAAGTTCGTGAGAATTCTTTCCCTGCTTTTGTTGGGATTGGTGCGATGCTTGCTGGTATCGCTGCACCAATGCTAACAAAGAGTGCTGGACAAATTGCTATAGCACAAGGAAGACGAACAAGAACTTTTAGTAACGTTGCAGGTGGGATTGCTAGGAGACGTACTCATGCTGGGAATGTTCGGACTCCTAAACAATCCGAGTTTCCAAATGACAATATATCAAATGAAGATTCTATTCAACTTTTGAATGACGATTCAACAATGTCGAAAAAGAAAGATAAACAATTAAATGAAGATTTGTATCACAAGAACAAAAGCAATGAGTCACCAGAAATCCGGATTGACTTAGCGTCATCAACAAAAGATGTACTTGTGGCTGAGGATATCAAAAATAAGATACATCTAATTAAAGATGAACAAGACGTCTCTAAGATTAATGGACAATCCAAACCAAAATTTATCAAAGGTCATAAGAAAAGTTTATCACGATCAGCTTCTTCATCTCTTCCACACAGACATAATGGACTGAGCAGTGCTATGTTTACATCCCCATCACTTGATGATTTGCAAAAGGGAAGTGCTTTTTCAGTGAAGCAATATTCAAAACCTCGACCACAATCTGCAGATTTTCCGTTATCTAGTGTTGAACAGGATGGTTATTATGACGACGATGATATAGATATTTTCGATCCTACTTTATTAGATGAATTGGAAGATTATAGTCCTGAACGGCGAAGGCGTCTTCTCAAGGGAAATTATTTTCAATCAGAACCGCAATTCCTATTAGCACTTCAAGATATTTCAACAAGATTAATTATTGTTCCGCGAGAAGCAAGGCAAAGCACTTTAAGAGCTGAATTGACATTATTAAATCATAATTTACCAGCAGAAATCTGCATACCATTATGGTGCCCTGCAACTGCTGAGAATCCATGTCATCATCGTGTAGTCAGGATATCGCCGGCTGATGCAGTGGTGTTAAACTCAGCTGAACGGGTATAATAGATTTATTGTTACTATTCTGCATTTAAAGTTATTGAAAAAATTTTAATTATTCTAAAATTTTCCTTTAAGGTACCTTATTTATTAATGGTAGAAGTCCTTGAAGGGGAAACGAATTTTGATATGTCCAGAATGCAAGCTCAAAAATCATTAAACCGTTTACTTCATGATGAAAAACGGAAAAAAAGCTCTACTGATACTTCAATATCAACAGATGCACCAAAAAATAAGGACGATATAAATAAAATAGTTATAGAACATTCTGAGGAATCTACGGATAGCCTAAATAAACAAGACACGGAATGTTCTCATAATAAATTAAAAGACACATCAGATGCAAACGATAACATTGGCGAAAAACCCATAGGGAGTGAATGCAATTCCACAAATAAGAGTGATAGCATCAAAGCTGATGATATCGGAGATCCCCCATTAATTGCTAAAATATCTGCACCTCCACGTAGTTTACCAAAAACACGGTCGTCCAGGCGCACTGCGTCAATTGACAGGCTCCCACCTCTAATTTCTCTTGATGAAAAAGGTGCACAACCCTTGATAATTGAGCCTTATCCACAAACAATTGATACTTTATCACAATCGAAAGATGTATCATCTGTTCCATACACCCTTACCACTTCAACTCTACCAGAATCAAATAGCCAATATTTCAAGCAAGTTATTAATCGTCGACAGTCCAATTCAGCAGATGAATTTGCTGAAAGAATGCGTACAGCTGCAGTCATGCTTGCGCAATTGAATACAGCGCAACAGGTGCGCACATCTTCCGCTGGTGAAACAATGCAAAGGACTAGAGCTGATACTGAAGCAATAAAGAAAAAAATAATTAGTGAAATGATGTATTTAGAGGAACAAAGAATGTTAAAAATGACAACTCAGGGTGTTACTAGTGTAGTTGGTAACGGTGAAGGTGGAGGTGATGAAATGTTGGAAGACGAAAAACACGTATTGATAGCCTTCAATAAAGATGATCCAAGTGGTAAGAAATAATTATATTTATTAAATTTGAATACGTCTATTGGTATAAAATTAAACATATTATTGTAGCTGCTGTATTTAGTGAGGATTGGGAGACAAAAAAGGAACGCATTCGTAAGTCTTCTCCTTTTGGAAATCATTCAAACTGGCGTCTATTGTCAGTCATTGTAAAAACTGGCGCAGACTTGCGTCAAGAACAATTGGCATGTCAACTGATTCGTGAAATGCAGAGAATATGGCAAAAAGCTAAAATTGGCGTGTGGGTTCAATAGTGAGTAATCATTTTCTACAATCTACTATTATTACGATTATTATATTATAATTATTATTATAATTATTATTATCATCGTTATTTCCTTTCCATTGTTACTTGAATTTATTTATTTGTATAATTCATCATTTATCGATATCATATCTTATTTAATAGTTACAGAGTACTTGCAACATCTGACAATTCAGGATTGATAGAAACAATTCAAAATACCATTTCAGTCCATTCGATCAAAAAAGATGCGTATGCAAAAAGGTTAGATGAAAAAGGGTTTATATTCACTTTATTTGACTATTTTGTGAAGGTTCGGGGTTTTTTTTATAATGCGCAAGATAATATTCGGTTTTTATTCCATTTTACTTATTCGTACTTCAACCATCATTTAGACATATGGTGATGTTTCATCAGAATCATATTTACGTGCTCAAGATAATTTTATGAGAAGTTTGGCAGCTTATTCTATTGTTTGTTACATTTTGCAAGTGAAGGATCGGTAATTGTCTATTTTTTTTTTTTTTTTAATGGCTAGTAGTGAACTAATGTCATAATTTTGCAGTCATAACGGCAATGTCTTATTGGATACCGAAGGCCACTTGATACGTATGTATTTAATTAATCTCCGTAAAGTTTCGATAAATCTTATTTCTATAAACCATTATCACTTTAGATATCGATTTTGGATTCATGCTCTCGAATTCGCCTGGTTCTGTCGGATTTGAGCTTGCTCCTTTCAAGCTTTCACAGGAGTATTTGGATATTCTTGGTGGGGTAACTAGTAAGAAATTTACGGAATTCAAAACGCTGTTCAAACAAGCTTTTCTTGAACTGCGCAAACATGCTGATAACTTGATATTATTAGTTGAGATGATGTCCAAAGGTATAATTTATTCCTTAGAGTTTTTTTTTCATACAGTTTCGAAATGCCGCATACTCGATTTTAACCAATACTTTCTTAAAAGATTCGAAGCTTCCTTGTTTTCTTTCGGGTTCGGCCTCTCATCTCCATGAAAGGTTCCAAGTTCCTCTTACTGAACCGCAGTTTGATGAATTTGTTGAAAAGTTGATTATGCAAAGTTGTTGTAATGTGTTTACCCGATTGTATGATACTTTTCAATATTACTCTAATGGAATTCTATAATAAAATTTGAAGACTTGATTTTATTTGGGTAAATGAGAAGCCGCGGATATGTTCGCTTTTTTATTATTGTGTAGATGTTTTTGAGGGATTTTGTATAAGAGAATAATTTTGAACCAATTTGAGTTGAATTTGCCTACCTTGTATAATAAATATTACTAACAAAACTCTGTGTTTTCGGACAATGTTTATTTTCATTTTTAGAAAGGAACAAGAAATCTTTCAATAATTATATATTGCTAAAACAATATATATATATATATAGTATAATTTGTTTATAATTTTATTTCGTTTTAGAAAAAAAAATTTTTTTGTTATAATTTTATTTTATTTACTTTTTTGTCTTTTTTTTCTTTTTAGAAAAAAAAAAATAGTTCTTAAATTCTAAATTTATTAACATACAATCGTTCAACTATTAATGTGATGCAATAATAGTCTTAAGACTGATACTTTTAGAGGATGTAAATCTTGAATTAAACTAACTTGTATGAAAACTAACCCAATAGTCCTTTTAAACAAAATTTCTAATTATAAAATACATAACTGCCATTCACTAATCGTCTATGCCACTGTCAAGTCTATCAATACGAGCACGAAAGGAAAAATCATAAATACCGTATGGAAATTCCCATTCTCTTGTACTAGTTAATCTTACAAACCGGATGCCAGTCTCTCGAATTTGAAAAGTACATGATAATAAATGTGTTCTTCCGTCAAGGCCAGTTTGTGGAAGCTGTCTAACTTCTATTTTCGGTAATGGTGACAATTGTATCTAAAAGAATTAATAATACAATAAGAAACACAAACTAATTTACGAAAACAAAGTGTAAGCGCATAAATTTATACCCAATCTATTCCATTATAAGATATTTGTATCTTTATATTTAACGAAGAGAAATAATCTCTGTGGTGATCGACTACGAGAGTAAATATGAGTGGGAATGGCATCGGGAACAACAAATCTAAACTAATATAATCATCCTTACGAATGACTATTTGGTTAAATAATGAAAGTAAGAAAAAGGCTGCTCAAAACTATCATTAATGCTTAGTTAACGTAAGTTACCCTCTTGTGATTTCCATGCGGTCCAATCTTTATCGTCCACTGCGTGCGAATAAGGATGACGAATGAAATGTCCAGTGTCATAATAACTCTCATGAACACGTTCAGACTCACTAATATTAATATATGGTCTATACCGAAATGCTCGAACGTCCGGAAAAGAATGTTTATTTGTAAGAAACAAACATCTATCATTCGCGCAAGGAGAGCGTACATCACGTTGATATATGCTAGGTGAAATTTCCTTAGTTTCAAAAGCACCTGTTTTACGACTTAGATGATCGTATAAACGTACCAAAGCTTTGTGCATGTAAATTTTGTTGCGAATTCTTCCCTCTCCAGCACTAAAAGCATTTTCCTGCGGTAACTCCATTAATTCATTCTCCAACTGATATGGCACTTGATTCATAAATGTTGTGAAATACATGTCGCCATACGCAAATTCAGTTGGATCCATCTCAGTGATCGAAGCCATTTTGAGAAACCTTACTACATTTTCCCGAGAAGTAAAAGCACCGGTTCCAACCCAAGAAAAACAAGCGTGTAAATCGACAGCTGGAATCAAATTTGAAAATTAATATTGCTAAACCGCCATGTTTAAATAACGGAAAATTTTCAATACATTTATAAAATTAATTCACATACAATCATCAAAAAAACACCATTTCCAATTGGTCAGGGAATATACATCCGCATTTGTATCGGTGTGAATTAAATTTGGGAAACGTAAAAAGTTAGCATATATAGAACGCATATGCCGGATAATCCAATCATCGTCCTGAAAATAACAGTAAGGGGTAGTAGCCATCGCACAAGCCATGTATCTTGCGATGAAATGCAAGTTTCCTGGAGAGTTATAATATCGGATTTTAGCGCATTGGGTCTCGGTGAACATCTTCACATTGTTAAAGAATAAGATTCACGTTGTCAATAAATAACCTTAATTAAATATAGATCTCCGCTAAATTGGCTTTTATAATTAGAACTTCAATTAATTCGCACACAATATTAATACGAGAAATCTCTTACTTGGTCAGAAAGATGTATATCACCATTATTGTTCCATATCATGATCTCCTTAAACATTGAATATTGGCACAGATGTTTCACTATAATTTTCAAATTTTCTAATCTAGACCAATTCAATAGAATTGCAGTAGTTTCTCCATCACCATCAGTGGGAAAAACGTTGCTTAACACATCTACTGATGGTATGTCTTGTGATATTATTTCTTCTTTTGATGGAAATCGACTTATACCATAAAGACATATCCAGAATAGAAATATCAAAAAAAGCAGTAAAGGTTGTTTTAAAATAATGCTTGTTTTGAAAAACTTTAAAATTTGAGGGATTAAAGGTGATTCTTGCAATAGTTTGCGTCGAAAATTTGTTTTGGTGGTAAACACATCGGTATTTATGTTGATGTGAAGGGGTAATCGTGTAGTGGTTTTTTCAGGCATTGTACTTTTACTATTTCTATGAGGTATTTGTTGGAATAAACGATGGCCCACGGTAAAAAAGATGATAGCTAACGATCAAATTTTTTGGAATCTAGAAATGTTGACTATTGAAGGTTAGAGCTGTTTTCACAAAGATCGTTCGCAGAATCTTCAAGCAATGAATTTCAGAATGACAGGCTTGCAAAAACATTTGCGCAAAAGAAATCGCAATATGAATTGCTGTTCCGGAACAGCAGAAATATTAGCGTTAGTGTAAAATACGCATTCAATCTGAATTTTAAACGATTTGATAAAAAATTACTTAATTTACTCTAGTGGTATAATTTGTAGATCGATTAAGTTAAAGTTATAGGGTAGGGCGTTTGATACACTAGTGTACAAATAGTAATTGCCAAAAAATTATGGCCCCTGTAATTTTTAATTTTTAGCAAACTAGGGCAGTATTGTACATGGACATACATCCATGTGCATGGACAAATGTCCAATAAAATTACATATGTCCATGGACAATGTCCAATGTGCAAGCATGTTATTGGCTGGTCGGAAACAAAAAAAAATTTTATGAAAATTTTCTAACGCCCTAAACCTTACATTACAAAAAAAAACTTACCCAGTGACAATCCATGTTCTTAAAGATCCATTTCAGCACGTTTTTCTGGCGGCTATGCTGTGCATCAAATTAACATATGCAACATACTTGACAATGATGCCGTTTAGTATATAGGTTTATTTATAACTTCTAAACTTATTATAACCTTGGACATAGAAAATTACCTTAGGCATTGTTTTTGGACATGTTTCATTTGTCCATGGGCATGGACATGCTTTTCATTTGTTCCATTTTAAACCTCCTGACTTGGCCTATTTTAAGTCTTGTACCTTTCGATTTACAATTTGGGGCCTTTGCTAGTTTTGGGACCTCTTTAATCAAAAATAAGATTTTTTGATCGTATATTTAGGTTAGATTATATTAATACTAGGGAGTGTGGCATGGCAAAAAAATTTGGCATGCCATTAGTCAAAATTTAAGTTATGCCATATTATAGGCATGCTATTGGCATGGCATAATATAATTAAACTTCTTTTGAAATATTTTGAACATTTGCTTCGAATTTTCTCTTATAATTTTATGTTGTTTAATTTTCTATACAGAATATTCAAATATTAGTTTAACCAGAACATGACAAATTATATAAGTGACATGCCTATAGACTATCTTATGCCCTGCCACGCACCCGAAAGTGATTTTTTTCGATTCCGGACTTTTTAAATATAAAATCTAAAAATAGAATCAGATGAGTTAATTTCTACGTACCGTTATAAGTATTCGGGGAAAATTTCTTAAGAGTAGGAGGTACGTAGATCATTTTTTATATAGTTTTATATGGTCTTTTGAAATTTTCATATAAAATTGATATGTTACTAATAAAATTTTTTTAAATTACAACTAATTTTATTAAAATTTTTATAAAATATAAATAAAACAATTTATCTATATATTATAGTAAAATTTTTAACTATTATTATATTTAAAAAAAATATACTTGTATATATTACAAAGTTTTTTGAGGCTATTCAAGATTTGCCATAGTTATACAAGATCATTAAATTTGATTATGGTGCAGGACATCTAATCACATCATAGTGCTGAAATTTGAAATCTATATAAAATATAAATAGTAGCGCTGAATTTTAAAATTCACATAGTGCAGAACATCATATCGCTAAATTTTGTAAATTATTATAACCTCAGGGTTGTCATTGGACTTATTCCAGTCTCTCACGAGTTACTGGACTGGACTGGACTGAAATTCGTATAAGTCCAG